TTAAATTGTGGGTAATCATCCTCCTATTTTAGTATGTTCAATACTTCATACTAAGGAAAAGCAAGACAAATTTTGTTATCATCTGCCAGCCACAGTGCATTCCTTGCTGGAGGGTGAGAGAGAGGCAATGTCACTTTTCCAGCTCTCCCCAGGCAGGCACATCCCTCCCTACGGGCATGGCAAGAGGCAGCAGAGTTACAGAGATGGGAAATTCCTATGGCATTTGTGCAAAGCCCCCACCAGCTCCCACGTGGTGGATTTCACAACAGGAACACTTGTGTGGGAGTCTGGGCCAGCCTGTATTTGCCCTTTTCCTCCAAGTGTTTGCATCCGCATTCTTGGGCCAGGCAGTGACTGGGAAAGTGTTTCCCACCAGCAGCAGGAGGCAGGGCTGTGGAGCTGGTGTGTCAGGGGTGTCCTGAGTCTTCATGGCTCTCCTGTGGCTCCTAGAAGGGCCTGGGACACACACACAGACAAATTCCAGCTCCTCCACTTGGGTACTCTGCACCTCTCATCAAATTTCTGCCTTCTCAGGATCCACAGGTAGTGGTTGGAAATCCTGAGCTGGTCATACAACCACTGCCTAGAGCAGATAAATGCCATGTGGTGCTGAAAAATGGAAGAATTTGTGCAATTAGTTCATTTTGAGGTGGCAAAATCTTCAGTGTGCAAATATTTCTTCTGAAAACTGAAGAAATTCTGTACTGAAATGTCAATATGATGCAACTTGTACTTGTCACTCATCTGTATCCCACTGTAATGTCTCTGGAGCCTAGGTTCCCTGTCCTGGTTCTATCTTTTTATGCTTTTTTTCTTCATATATCCCTAATAGAAGCAATACATGTTTTCTTTCTGCAGATCATGGTGCTCCTGCACTCACCCTGCTCATGGCTGGCACTCAAACAGCACCCACAGCATTGCAATGGGGCCTCCTGCTGCTGCTGCTGAGGGACCCCCAGACTCAAAGGAAGGTTTTGCTCTGCTTACACAGTGTTCTGCAGTGACTTTGTAAGTGATGCTCACCTCTAAAAGCTTCATAGGCTCTCATGTGTGCTAGAGCATCCAAAATCTGGGTGCTGTCCACCTTCATCCAACACTGAACACTGCCATTCCAGACCAAAGCATCTGAGAGGTTGTTCCCTACCCCAGGGGCTGCAGACCTCCTGTCCTGGGGTATTCCAACCAACATTCAGCAGGAGCTGGGATTCACAGGTGTTTTACCACTGTGCCTTTCCTTTGCCCTGCAGAAAAGGGTGACACAGAGACTGAGTTCTTGGCCCTGGCTGCTTCCCTGCCTTTGAGATGGCGTTTCCCAATGCAGTGATCCATGAGGTGGGGAGATCCATCCCTCTCCTGCCACAAACTCCTGGTGCACCTCAGCTGACACCCCCTTCAAAGGCTGCTGCATTCCCAGGGCACTTGCTGCCCTCCAGATGAAGGGGTGCAGCTCACCAGGGCAAAAAGCAGCAGGAGTGAGCAAGCCTCAAGCACAGGGCTTTTGGAGGGGAAGAGCCAGCTCCCTGCTCCCTCATCTCCTCTGAGTCCAGTCCAGTGCCAGTGTGACTTCAGGGCTGGGCACACTTCCCTTTTCCCACAGCTCAGCTCATAACCTGGGGTCTGCTCCTTGCTCCCTGGCCTCCCTGCAGGGCTGTGCTGCCTCTGGGCCACCAGGACATTGCCTCTGCCTTGCTGGGGGCACTGGAGAGCAGCTGGGCACCAAGGGAGCCTGGCCCACGTCCCTCCTCTGCTCCATCACTGGGGAGCAGCCAACAACTTCTTAATCACAGGATTGTTTAGGTTGGAAAAGACCTTAATGAGGTCTAACCATCAACCCAGCAGCACCACCATGTTCAGCACTAAGCCATGTCCTCAAGTGCTGTATCCATGTGGTTTTGGAACACTCCAGTGCACCTCTGGGCTTCCCCCACCCTGCTGGGTTAGGGCCAGGTCACAGATTAGTCAGGAATTCCAGTGAGCTGGGTATCTGCACTGATGAAGGGTCTTACTGGCAGGTGCAAGCCCAGGAATTGGCTCTTCAGAGGAAGAACTTGGCTGCCAGACACAGCCCAAAGGGAGGAATGCTGAGTGGGCAGGCCAGGAGCTTGCAACATCCACACGTGCTGCAGCAGAGCATGGCTGTGCTGTGGGGAAGGGCAGGGACCCCCCTGCTCACCCCTGTGTGCCAGATAAAACAGGGAAAGGGAAGGGCAGGGATCCCCCTGCTCACCCCTGGGCTGCTGGTTAAAACAGGGAAAATGGGAGATGCCAGATGAATTTAAGCCCAGCCATTCCCTGCACACACCTGATTCTGCCAGGTTAATGGGAAATCAGTGTCTTTGCACCCAGCCTTGCAGCAGGTGAGTGCAGTTGGACTGAGGGGGGCATAAACCCTACAGACTTAGTCCTGACTCCTTCCCCAGGCCGGATTTGTGCTGGCAAGGCGTTCTAGCCCAGTAAGGACCACAGGGCTGGGCTGGCTGTGGCTCAGAGGGATCGTGGTGCCATCTCGTGGCAAAAATAAAGTAGAAATTCGATTGTGTGCAGTGCTCATTGCTCTGGCACTCAGTGCAGAGGGGTGCAGGTGGAGGTGCTGCAATCCCTGCCCCTGATCCTTGCCCCTCTCAGGGCAGGAGCCCCTGGTGCCAGCATCACACAGCCCCGGGGGTGGCAGGCTGGGCCAGGGGACAGCTGCCAGTGCCATGAGCCACAAAATGAGTTGGTGTTGTTCAGATCTGGCTCTAAACATCAAGACACCTGTCCTGCCCCAAGGTGTTTGCCTTCACCCCAGGTGAGATTTGCAAGGCACAAACATGTTTTGCAGCTACAGAGGAGACCCTCAGGGCCACTGAGGAATGTGGAAATGGTATTTCCAGCTCTGAGAGCCAATGTTTTCTGCTAGATAAATAGATAGCTGAGTCATAATCAATGTTCTGCCATTGCTTGGCTGAGCAAATAAATGGGAGACAGGCACTTTATTTTGTGGAGATATATTCAGCTGGGTAATTCAGTGTGCTGGGGAGGGATCACTCCTATCCATCTGCTGGCACAGGCACAAGTGGGATGCATTTTTCAAAGGAATCCAAGGAACCTGTTTTCCTTGGATGTTTGCAGCTCTGGAGGCTGCTGTGCTGTGAAGGGAGGGATCCATCTCTCTGCTTCAAGAACCCCAGAGCCCATGGGAAGGGGGCAGGTCTGAGGTTCCACCAGTGAATTCATGCAGAGCTGAGCCCAGCTCAGTGTTGTTCCCTAGAGCACTACACTGCTGCTTTATCTATCTTTTCAGTTCATGTTATTTTGGAGGGGTTAAAACAGGAACAGTCCTGGCCTTTCTGAAGCCAAGGGCAAAAGTGTTATTTTATTTCAGCAAGACCAAGACTTCCTGCACAGAGCTGCTCTGTGGTTTGCTCCCCAGTTGCTTTACCTGTCTCTCCTTGCCTTCCATCCAAAGCACTGAGCAGAGGGCCAGCACCAGCAGCAGGGAGGCTGTGGAGGCAACCTTTAATTCAGCCTCTGCCAGCAAGAGGCACAGAAGTGAAGAACTGAGGCTGTCCCCAGGGCTGACTCACAGCCCACAGCTGAGGAATTTGCCCTGGTGAAATCACCCTGCAGGTATGGAGGGTCTGCTGTTGAGCTGGTGTTTACTAGGATGAGCAAATGCAGAACTTCTCACCCATGAGATACATCTGCATTTTATCTGTTCTCACTCTGGGCTCAGCATCAGCCTTTCATGGTGTTTGCATTTCTGTGTGCTGCAAAGTTGGGTGCCAGGCATAGGAAATGTAATGAGGACATGGGATTAAAACTTTATTTGGTTCCCATGAAGGGGAAACAAACAATATGATAAAGCACATGATAAGAAAATGCATGTGGAGGAGTGGGAAGTCACAGCAGGTAAATGGATGGGAAATGGACTCAGCTGGAATAAGGTTGTGGAATATGATGGCATGGAAGAGTGAGATAGAGACAACAGCCAGGCTGAGCTACAGAGGAAAGGAAGCCAACCAAAACCAGCTTTAATCCAAAACCAAAACCAACTTTAATCCCTGATCCCCATTCTCTGTGCGTGTGTGTGCACAACAAGCACTGTGAAATTAGACTGCCTTTGCAGGGGAATTGCATGGCTGGTTCCAAAGGCCAGACCATCCCAAACACAGAATGACTGCTGGTGTAGGGTAACATTAACCAGGGTATCTGAAGAGAGGGAACTCTCTTGGCTGCTGTTTAACAAGGTCAGGAAGGACAGAGATGTGTAAAACTAGCAGTGGGTGTAGTTTATTTTTGTGTCATTAGCCCTTTATGACCGGATGCTGGTGCAAATCTCAAGTGGCCTCATGATTTAAATTGCAAACTCAGGAATGCAGCTCCTGTTTTGCTCCAGCTGGGGAGCAGTGTTGAGCTTGGTTGCAGCACTTGCTTCTCTGAACAGGTTTGCAGCCTCTGGGGCATCTTCCAGAACACTGTTCCCAGGCAGATTTAGTCCTCAAACCACATGGACCCATCACTTTTTTCACTCTGGGTGTTTGGCTTGGCTGCCTGGTGGGTGAAATCCTGGCAGGATTTTGCTGTGAGCTGTGGAAAAGCTCAGGAGGTGTCCATGGATGGCTCAAGCCTGTGACCCGCAGTGTCTCTCTGTGGCTTCCAGCAAACTGTGGCTTGTTCTTCCTCAGGATTCCAGGCAGATTTCTGTGACATGGTGAGCTTTGGGAGCCTGGGTGTTCCCCTGCTGCTCATGGGCTGCATCCCCTCCACCAGAGCAGCAGCTTGGTCCCTTCACCAGCTCTGTGCACATCTTGAGAAGTGGGGTGTGATGGGCAGCACCATGGCTGTGTTTGCATCTCCCCCAGGGCACAGGAACAAAGAGCAGCCCTGGGGAGGATGGAGCAGTGCAGGGGGTGGATGGAGGCAGTGGGGAGGGGATGTGGTGCTGGGGCAGGGTGGGGGATGGCGAGTTTGAGCAGAGTTGGGCTCTTGGACCCCAAAGCTCTGGGACAAGGCCGCGGTTATTCCCTCAGGACAGCACAGGTTGCCTGGGGCTGAGGCCTCAATGTGAAAGTCGTTTGAGGGACGGTGAGGTCCAGGTCAGACTCTGAAACTCCTGGCTGGGGTCGGAAGGTGAATGTTTGGAGCAGCCCGACAAAGAAGACAAAGAGCTCCATCTTGGCCAGGCTTTCCCCGATGCAGTTCCGCCGCCCTGCGGGTGAAAGCAGAGAGTTCACCTCATGGCAGAATCCAACTGGAATGTTTGCCATGGACACTTAGCATCTGAGATGTTGCAATGGGAGCAGGAGGGAAACCTTGAAATGCACTAAAGCATTTTGGTGTAGAGGAGCCTGTGTTGCTGAAGGTTCCTGCCTGGTCTCTTTTGTCACAGGCTACAGCCGTCTTGCAGGGTTATTGCACATTTATGGTGTGCCCTCTCCTCTCCTTAGCTCTTCCAACCCTCTCAGCATCTTTAACCCTTTCTTTTGGAAAGCAGCCTGATACAAGAATGCCACCTCCTTCCAAAGTGGAATACCTTAAAACTCACTTTTCCTGTGGAATTTATCCTCATACACCACTTTTAGATAAAAGTGTGCTTCTTTTTACTACCCTTCTTTGTGCTATATTTAGCAGTGGGAGAGCTGTGCTCTGAGAGCAGCCATTTGCCTAGATGCAGAACAATTGATTCCATGCAGTAGTCTGGTTGCTTATTGACTGAGTTAAGGGCAGTGTTTAGACATGAAGACTCATTAGTGTGTATTTGTAATGAAGTGGCCCTGCCACAGCCCCAGCTCTGTGCAGGTCAGCCCTTTAGTTACCTGTGGAGAAAGGCAGGAAAGCTCCTTTCTTTACAAAATTCCCTTCAGCATCGAGAAAGTGGTTGGGGTTGAACTGATGTGGTGTCTCCCATTGTGTCTTATCCAGCAGCACTGAGGTAAGGGATGGGATTACAATTATACCCTGGAAGAAAAGTACACAAAGGCACAAAAGATAGCCAAGTGCTGTTTTGGTTCATTTTCTCACACAGGCTTTGGTGTCCCAGATTTGTTCCACCTGGGGTAGGTGGAGACCATGAGGGTTTTATCCCATCATGCAGCAGAGAGACATCAGTGAGATTCTCCCACTAGTGCCAAGGACTGAAGCCAAACCCCACAGGGTGCTGTGAAAACCTCAAGTGGAAGGTAAAATCCTGCACTTCTCTGGCAGATACTTCACTGTGCAGATGGCAGCAAGGAGGTAAACCAGGGCTGCTCATGGAGTGAGGAAGTCCTGAGCATGAGAGGGACTGGATTGAGCCATATGACAACCCTGGGCCGTGTACAGAAATCCTTCTGGGGATGGTTTTGGACTCTGTTGTGTGAGTCCCTCTAAGAAACCATTCTCCAGTGGCACTGGCAGATCTGGGGAGGGTTTTGTGCTCCTGGGAGGCAGCAGATACCTACCTTGGGCAGGAAGTAGCCCCTGAAGTGGGTGTCAACAGCAGTGCAGCGGGGCACGTGCGGCAGGAGGGTGATGAACCTCTGCACCTCGTGCAGCACCGCGTTGGTGTAGGGCATCCTCCTCCTGTCCTCGTACGTGGCCCAGCTCCCAGCCTTGACTGTTCTCCCAATCTCCTCCTGGACCTTTTCTGGAAGGAACAAACAAAAGGGATGTGTCCTAGCAAGGAAGCCAACTCCCTCCTTGGATTTGGTTTAGGGGGAAAAAACCCCATTTTTCCAGAGTTTGAAGAGAGAGAGGATTCTTAAAGCAGCAGTGTGGGTTTCCCTGCTCTGTGTTTAATTCAGGTGTGTGGGTGGGTTGTTTCTGCAGCATCATACTCTGATCTCCACTCATCCTCTCTCCCAGCTAGTCAAAAGGGCTATTTTATTGTGACTTTGATCAGCACCAGTTACATTAGCAGTTTATCACAGAGGAGAGCTAGGATTCAGCTCTTCAGGCAAAAGAGCTGCTGTGGGTCTGAGGCCAGGCCTCTTCATTTCAGCCTTGCCATGGATGGAGTAGGTAAAAGCTGCTCACTTTGAATCTCTGGGTATTTCATCATGAGCAGGATGGACCACTGGAGCGTGGTGGCAATGGTCTCTGTTCCAGCCATGACCAGGTCAAGTATGGATGCCATTAAGTTGTCATCATGGAAGAGGCTGTCTTTCTTGTGCTTCTCCTTGAAAAACACAAGAGGTAAGAAAAGTCATAAAACCATCAGTCTGAGTATTCAGCAAGCACAGGAAATGCTGCATTACCTACAGCACTGCTGGCTGTGGTCTTGTGTTTGTGAACTGGGTGATAAAATAGACCTGATCTTGAATGCACAGCATCCACCAGAGATGGAGCATCACAGATGGAAGGTTTGGAGGGGAGTTTTGGTTCGACAAAAAGAGTCCATCTCCCCTGGAAGCAGACTGAAACCCAGAGCCAGCTGCTGCTCACAGATTCAGCCTTGCAGGTTTGGAAAGAGCCTGATCTCTGCCCTGAACAGGAGCAGATTCAGCTACTCCTATCTCTGAGGGACTCCTCCTGCCCAAGGCCAGGTTTGAATCCCCAACAATACTCAAAATCACCTTTCAGGCCATTTCTGCCCGAGTCTTAGAACTGTGATAACTCCTCCTCCACATAGTTGAGTAGAATACTTAGTGCCTAAGGTCAGCCTGAATCCAGCTGGAAAGAAGAAAAAGCTCAGAGCCCAAATATTTTGAGTTGAATGAAACCAAGTGATGTGTGAAACTGCCGAGCCTCTGCTAAGTGAGATGCAGGGCAGGGTTAGGACTTGTACTGATGATTTATCATTCAAGTTCTTTAAGGGGATCATTCATCTTGATGGAGCAACAGTATCAATGATTAATTGATTTGTTTTCATAAAAAGAAAAGCAGAGTCAGCTTTCATGTGAATTCATGCATTTTCTACTAGGAGTGAGTGGTTGATCTCACATTATCAGTGCTGCTATTTCAGGAGTGGACTGAGAGTAGCTTTTGTGTCTTAATTTTGATAGAAAAATGTACCAATTGGAAGAGCCTGACATCTGATTTAAATACCACTGGAGTAATAGCATGGATTTCAATAGATTTACATGACATGACTGAAATCAAGACTCAGCAACTCCTTTAGCTAGAAAATCCAAGGGAGACATTGCAAACAGCCAACAGAGCTAAGCAGCCCAATACCTCTTGTTGCTTGAATATCAGTGCATCGATGTAGCTCCTCACACTGTTCTCATTGATATCCTCCCTGCTGGCCTTCATGTATTGCCTTAAAATGGCACGCACATCTTCGATTTTCTTGAGCATAATCTTGTGGGTTTTGAAAAGAAATCCAAGGAACGGGTAGAAATTGAAATACTAATGAGAAATTTAAAAAGAGAAGCATTAGGCTTGCAGAAATACCACACAGAATCACAGAGAATCCCCTTGGCACATCCTGAAACCGCTTTTTTCCTAAGGGCCAATGAATCAGTTGGGTTTTGTCTTTAGTAGCAATATCTCAGCATCCCAGGGACTTCCTAGGCAGATTTTCATAAGCTAAAGTAACCATAGTTCAGATCTCATTTTAGCTCCACACAGATGTGCAGGATGGGTCAACAGGAAAGTAGGTAAGGGGCATCTGGCAGCAGATTTTGGTGACCCAAGTGTCACATGGAGAACTGTCACATTTTAGGTGTAATGGCTGGTTCTGAACATCTGAAAACTGCTGAAGTAAACCCTATGTCTGGTGTGGCTCACGTAAAAAAATTATCTGTGGGACAGTTTACTTACGTTTAAATTTGGGGATCCCAGAAGAATCATAATTTCATCTATGAGCCTTAAGAGAGTGAGGAATGTTGGGTCCTTGTAGTCAAACCTGTCCCCAAAGAGCATGACGAAGGTGACGTTGATGGGCGCGCAGTTGAAGGAGGGCAGGCTGAAAGGTTCCCCTGCAGCAGGAGCAGGGTGGGAAAGCTGTGAGACGTGGAGCAGCTGTGACACACACCAGCCCCAGGATGGTCCCCAGCTCACCTTTGAAGGATTTGATCATCTCGATGAGGAAGTGGAGCTCCTCAAAGATTCTGCCCTCTATCATTTGCTTGCCCATGCCGAGGTTGCGCATGCTGGACACGGTGAACCTGCGCGTTGTCCTCCACAGCTCCCCGATGGAGAAGAACAGACCTGGGCAGCCCGTGAGAAATGTGCTGGGCTCAGGCACAGAGGAGCCCCCCACACCAAACCAAACAGGGCACTGGGTGAGCAGGGAGCTCCACAGGTGTTCCTGCTGCCTGTTTTCACATGGATTTAGGGACTGAAGGTCTCCCCTTTCTGTGTGCCTCATCCCTGTGTCCTCTCAGCTCCATCCTCACTGAGCTGTAGCATGGGAAAAGCAAGCTCCCTCCCAGCCCAGTTACCCCAGTCCTCTCCTGAGTGGCAGGTGTGGCTTTCAGACCAGTATGGGTTGGCTGTAGAGCTGGGGGAAGATGTTGGTTTGAGTTTGTCATGGGACACTTGTGACCCTGCTCGTTGCAAGTCTAGGGCCTCAAGCACCTTGTGTGTCTGCAGCTTATCCCTTCATCCTATTCTAGTCATAAAGGTAATTTAACTGTGTGGGATGGGATAATTCAGTCTCCTCAACCCTAAAGTGTTTTATGGAGATTCCCAGCAGTGCTGTATTTTCAGCAGTGGTGAAAATACTGACATTTTTGTGGAGGTTTCTGAGCTCATGCCACGATGATCTCTAGCACCTCCAAGCAGGGATGGGTATTTCATCCTGTCAGAGTGCTGTAAAGAAAAAGTCAGGTCAATAATCCAAAAACTACCTCAGATTGTGGTCAGTTGAAAAGCTGGATGGATTTCACATCTTCATCGTGGCTGTGAGGCTTTTAAATATGTTTGCTTTTCTGTTTTAAAGCAGTGTAATTTTAATTTGGATAGCAAACCTTTTTGCTCTAAAAATGTCAGAGCAAATTTCTAAACTTCAATTTTTAATTTTTCTTTAATTTATGCAATTTCATCGGCATCATTCCTTTTCTGAGAGCATCTTCACAGTCAACAAATTGGCATTTTCTGAAGAAAAAATGTTTCATGGGAAAATTTGTGACCATTGTTGCTTAACAGCCCCTGAGAGCTTCCATCTTTGGGTCACCTCTAAGTGCCTCAGACTTGGGCTGAGAAGGTAAATGTGAAAGGACTTACAATGCAATACTGATATTCTCCCACAGGGATGTTTTACATGTAAATCAGCTCTAAAAAATACCTTTTTCCTTATCGATTCCTTTTATTTATGTAGTGATAAATTCATCTATTGATATTATGGCTGGGTAATTTAATTTCTAATTCTAATCCCAACTTCAGCCTCTGACCAACATCTAAAGCTGCCTTTTGGTTCTCCCAGCTAAAGCCTTACATGAAGGAGAGGCGGGACAATGCAAAAAGTCCTCTGAAATAGTCAGGGGTGGAAAAACTATGGGATTGTTTGTAGTGCTGAATTTCCAGCCCTCAGCCTCTTGCTTCTGAAGCTGTTTCAGGCTGGCCAACCTGAGGACTTTTGTGGGGAGGCAAAGGTGTGGGAACTGACAGGACAAAGGCAGTGGGAGAAAGGGAAAAACCCAACAGCTCCCAGCAGCCCAAGCCAGGTAGTCCAAAGTCTCCTGGAAACGTGAGGAGGGTTCATAAACCAGTGATGACAGCGAGCTGATCACACCAACATCACACAGAGATTAACCCCAGAGTTACCACAGTGCCTTCAAAAATCCCACTCCTCCCACCCCTCAACTCTTTGGATATGGACGGGCTGCAAGTGCATCAGCAGAAATGATGGAAAGCCAGGAGCCATTGCATGCAAGGAAAGCCAAATGTTTGCTGTCACTTGGCTTCAGAAGGTGATGTTTAAAAGCTGGGCTCCAGGGATGCACAGTTAGGCTGTGCCTCATCATCATCATCATCATCATCATCATCATCATCATCATCATCATCACGGGCACTAAGCGACAGCATTGTCCCTCCCAGCCCCCTCTCATTGCTCTAGTACCGTTTCTGTTCTGAATTTGGTCAAATATTGGGATGGATGGTCTGTCTACAAACTCCTCTGTGTAGTTCACAAGCGCCTCTCGCACAACTTCGTACCCGGTCAGCACCACAACTTTCTGGAACCCAAAGTGCAGGGTGAAGATGGGGCCGTATTTTTCTGCAAGCTGAAAAAAAGAGGCGAGCTGTGATGGTCAGGAAGGGCAGGAGAGTGCATAGAGCAGCACCTCCTGCTGTCTGAAAGGACATTTTTCATCCTGGCATCCTGCAGGGAATGGCTGCAGAGCCACCACCTGCAGAAGGGCACCTATGAGCCAGAGCTCATCGTGGTCAAGCATGAGGCATTTTGTACAGATGCTGGCATCTGTATGGAATTCAGGTTTCTTGCCATGAAGGAGCCCCCACCTCCACCAATGCATCACTAATCTGGTTTTGCTGTTAAGGAGAAAATAAATGAAAAACAAAAAAGCCCACCTAAAGACTGGACCTCAAATGGCAGCTAAAGTTGGCAAACTGGATAAAGGCCAAAAAAGAGAAGATAGTTCAGTGCCAGTAATGATGCTGTCACAGGGGAAAGCTTTAGTCTGATGCTCCTGATGTACTAAAGCTCTCCTGCATCCTGCTATGAGAGGAGCAATGGCTCTTTCACAGGACAATGGGGGCACCCTTCATTGCCCACCCAACAAACCCCAGTTGGTGCCAGCTGCTTTGTGCAAACACCATTTTTTGCTCTCTGTGGGGTGAGATGGAGGGATAACCCCTCTGGAGAGATCCCAAAGCCAAGGCAAACACAGGCAATACCAAGCACAGCCTAGCAAGGGACAAAAGCACGCGGAGGTAATTCCAAAGCGCCGTTCAGAGGCTGCAGCAGCGTCTGCCCAGCCCTGCTGGGTAAACTGACCCCAACCCTGACATTGCCCATAACAGCTCCAGGTGCTGGGGCCTCGCCCCGTGGCAGCACAGCCCGTGTTTGCTGAGCATGGGTGTCACAGGAGCCGTGGACACCTGGCTGTGACCCCCCTGCCTGTTTGCTCACTCTCTCCATGACCCCAGCATGGGCCATCCCCGAGGGAGCCATGCCCGAGGGAGCCATCCCCAAGGGAACCATCCCTGAGGAAGCCAGCCCAAGGGAGCCAGCCCCAAGGGAAACCATCCCTGAGGAAACCAGCCCAAGGGAGCCATCCCTGAGGAAGCCAGCCCAAGGGAGCCATCCCCAGGGGAGCCATTCCCGAGGGAACCATCCACGAGGGAGCCATCCCCAAGGGAACCAGCCCTGAGGAAGCCAGCCCAAGGGAATCATCCCCGAGAGAACCATCCCCAAGGGAGCCAGCCCCAAGGGAACCATCCCTGAGGAAGCCAGCCCAAGGGAGCCAGCCCCAAGGGAACCATCCCTGAGGAAGCCACCCAAGGGAGCCATCCCCAGGGGAGCCGTTCCCGAGGGAACCATCCACGAGGGAGCCAGCCCAAGGGAGCCCCGAAGGAACCAGTCCCAAGAGAATCATCCCCATGGGAGCCATCCCCAAAGGAACCATCCCCTAAAGCCAGGTGGGAATGCCCGGCAGCCCCAGGAGCAGCCTTGTCCTGCACACAGTGGGGTAAGTTTTCTAAATTACAGGTTATTGGAAGAGCTCACAGGTTATTCACTCTGTTCCTTAGCACAGCTTTCCCATCTCTCCCTTGCACTGCCATCTAGACTTTAATGCATTTCCCATTCATCAAGAGGGAAAGGGATTTCACAGTGCAGAGTCCGGATTTGGCCCTCTCTGCAGCAGTTTTGGGGTCGCTGCATTGTGGATTCCTCTTGCCAGATCTCCGGGGCATAGGAGAGGGAAGCAATTTAATTTATGTTAGTTATGTCCTAATGCTTTAAAAGATTTCTGGGTGTCCAAGCTGTCAAATTAATATTTCAAATCCCACAAGCATTATAGACTTCATGTACATCACCACAATTACATGAAGAAATCCCATATTACCCAGAGGTCTTTTTTTAGTGGTTGATTGCTCCTAAATTACATTGCATCAACACAGACATTGACTAGAAGAAGCCCAGAAAGATATCATAAAGCAATTTTCACACCTTTACAATTTAGTTTGAATTAAAAAAGACAAAAAGTTCTCACTGATACATCCCAGGCAACTTTAAAATCTATGAGGGTCAGGGTTAGGGTTTTTTTGTCCTACCTTCATTAGTGATTTATCTTGCCTTCTAAGATCCACCAAGTGCAGGTTACCAATGATCGGAAGAGGAGTTGGACCAGGAGGTAATTTAAAAGCTGAATTTTTATAGCCAGTTGAAAAATAGGCTACAGCTAATAATACTGCTGTGCACAGCAGACAAATTAATGCAGGATCAGAGAGAAATGAAACTAAAAAAGACATTTTTTTAAAGTAATAATCTGGTTTTTGGGGTTAGAAGCAATAAAAATGCAGTGGCACTGTTCAGTTTCTGCCAGCTGGCTCTCTGTTTGCTCTCTGCAATTGCTACAAGCACTCAATTCTTATTAAGGTTTGTAGAGTACCTAAATAAATACTGCATACTCCACCCTCTTTAAACACCTCAGAGAATGTGGTCTAAGCAGTTTGCAAAGCCTGTCCAGAAGTAAAGAGAGTTTCAAATTACAAACCCATGCATGTGTGTGCAAGAACATATACATGGGAAAAGGTGCTTGGCATTCCTCTATAACCTCCTCCTCCCTGAGACCTCAAGGTCCTTCATTAGCAGTACTATGACCCTCCAAGCACTCTGCTGACACAGGGAAATAAAAAGGCTCTTGGAATCCTATTAGAACCTCCAGATTCAGGCTTAGGTAGGATTTGAGATCTCCATGTTACTAGAGAAAAATATCAGTAGTTTTACAGGAGACTTTGGCTTTCTTGATGTCAAGTGGAGATCAAAGGTTGTTAATAATGGTAAAGCCCAACTATCCCTGGGGGGTTGTAGCCCATAAACTTCTTTATAAAGTCAGCTCTGAACTGCCCGGGAGGGATGTGATTTCAGACTTTGTGTCTGAGGTGGAAGACATGTAATAGCTAGCCACAGAAAATTAGCTTGGATCAAGTGATCATGAGTAGATTCATGAGTGCAATGGAAAGACAAAATTAGATTTGAAACTTCTGGGAGGACTTCATTTTGTGAGAGCAGCTTCTAAGGGATAGAGGGAAGAAATTAACAAAGTTAATGAAGCTAGCTGACCTGGCAGGCACCAGAAGGGGAACAAGGCAGGAGAATGGAATGATTTTTAGTCAAAGATACTAAACACCTGAAGCTTGCATCCCTTATGAAGGCTTAAGCCTTGCTTAGAAAATAATTGAGGTTACCTGGTTGCATAGTGGTTTTCAGGAGGAAGTTTGGCATAACCAGCCAAAGGAATACAATCATTCAGGGAAGAAAGAGCTGTCTTACATGATGAGGAAACACAAGGCTAAAGGTACATTTGTCCAAAGGTTAGATCGTATAAAGGCCATTATTCAGCAAATATGGGTCCTTAGCCTTGTAAATGGAAAGAAGGCAGGAAGGAGGTGGATCTGATCCAGAGTGGGGCATGGTCAGCAGGGTCACAGAGCAAACATCTGCTGGGCACTCACCAGAGCTGCCTGTGTGGTGAGGAGATGTTGCAGCACAACAGCCACCCAGAAGCAGGAGCAGCAAGTGTGTCGCAACATTTCTGAGATTTATTTTTTTATTAGCTTCCAAGAAATGGGCTGGAGGCAGTGGTTTCCCCCAGAGCATGCCTAGGATGACTCAGCCCTGCCTGCTCCATGAGCTAAGAGGCAGAGGGGCTGTAAAGACAGGCAGGAAGGAACATGGCTGGCACAGGATGCAGAACGTGGGCACTGCCATGAGGACTTGCAATGGCACATGCTCTGTGCCTGGGCAAAATGTTTGTTCCTGCAGGGTTTTCTTGGACCAGCAGCACCCTGCAGGGCAAAAGTTACGTGTTGCTGCTGCTCTCCTGGTATTTCACCTTGCCCTGGGAGCCTCTGAACTCATAAAAAGGCCTTTCAGAAAGAGACTTAAATTATCTCTGAAAAGCCAGGGGGAGTGTATTGTGGTTTTTTTCCAAGGCAGGCTCTGAGTGCAATGCATTAAAATGACAAAGGTAAGTAAAAGTCTTTCGATGACAAGAAATTCCTGTCTCACTGATGTCTCTGGTACGTGTTTTGTGTTTCACTCCAGAGCCGAGCTGCTACGTGCTGCCCTGCCTGAGCACACAGAACCGAGCACAAAACACCTGCCAGGCACTGACACTGCTCTGGGTGCATTCCTGGGGCAGCCAGGCCCCTCAAGGTGCTCCTGGCCCAGTTGTCCTCCATCCCTCGTGCTCGTGTGGCATTCTGCCACCGCTTGTGACTGGTGGTACTGGTGAGGATGTGGAACGTTGGGTATTGGCCACCTAAGGGCAACCACACCACCGCCAGTCAGCCAGCCTGGGCCACTAAAGCACCAGCCCTGCATCCTTTAACTTAAATGCCCCAAAAACCTCTGCACCTCCCCTGCCAGTCCCATTCTTCACTAGCAGTGCAGCCTTGGATAATTCCTGCTGGCTTTTACTGTGATGGGTTCCTTGTAAGCAAGGGCAAGAGACACAGGAACCACTGAAAGGGGCAACATCAGAAAGCCTTGCAGAGCCATGTCCTGCCTCACACAGCAGTTGGGATTTTCTGGAGTTAGAAATCCAGCTATTTCCTTTGATGTGTTTGTGGCTGTCAGTATTGTCACTCTTTGTGCTCCTGAACATGTCCTGGCTGCAGGCTGCCCACGGAGCCCTGTGCACACCTCTCTCTTGTGGGGGTATTGAAGGTGGTGCAGCCCAGTTTTATCAGTTTGACCTGAAATCAACTGCATACTGTCACACCAGATAGATCAACAGCAAGAGAACAAAATATTTAATGGTTAAGTAGGTGATAAGGTCAGGCTTGCAGTAGCTAGACTGCAAATACAGCAACAGCAAAACAAATGCAAGCAAGCGCAGCAGCAGAGGCTTCCTTGTCACAGAGCACTCCCTGAGCTGAGCCCAGGAGCTGGAGCTGGGCCTGTGCTACAGCCCCTGAACAAGTGCAACACCAGCACAAGTAGAAGGTGCAGAATCACTGTGAGAGAGCTGCCTTTAGTCATGTGAACTGAAGCTAGTGAGGAGAGTCAGTGTCTTGGCCAGAGGCTGCTGTACTTTGTCATCCCTTCACATTCTTTCTCCTTTCCTTCCATTTGCACACAGCTCAGCTTTAAACAACAGTAATTTTAGTTTTATGCCCCATTTTCAGTTGAATGGACAATGCTGTCCCTATTCATCACAACACCCCTGGTAATTGTGACTGAAGTTTGGAATTGGGAGTCTGTGGATGATAGTTCACCCTGCAGTCAGTGCAGAGAGTGAGAAATGACAACCTTATGGCAGCTGATTCATCCCCTGAAGGATCCTTTCTCTCTGTGGAGGGTAGAGAGGATCTACAGAGCAAGTACAGCCCCTGAGGTGCAGGTGGGGCAGGGAGCAGGGGCTGAGCCTCTCCCAGCTCTCTGCTGGAGTGTGGCAGTCCCTGCCCAGCCCCAGCTCCACTGCCCTGCCCCAGGCTGGTATTGCTTCAGCCACGCTGATTCAGAAACTCTTCCCTTGCCATGGCTGCTCATTTTCTGCCAGGTTAGGGATCTAAGATGGCCCAGTAAGGGATTGGACAAGTGCCAGAGCCAGCATGAAGCCAGGAGAGGTGAGGGAGTGGTAGAAATGCCTTTCTTAGGCATTTCTGCGGAAGCAGAAAGCTGCTCAATTGGCCCCATCATAAATGGGCTGTTCAGCATGAAGTGCCTGGTGTGAGGTGGAAAGAACCCATTTCCCAAAGCACTTAGATGTTTTCTGATAACTGTCCCTTGCCTGGGTCTTGGCATCAGCCTGTGTTACACCCTTGTGTCTGGGACTCTGTAATAAAGATAAGGCAGGTTGTATGGCACAATGGAAGCTCAGTCTGAGGCTCAGCTGAACAATCATCCTGAGGAGATTTCCAGATTTCCAGTGCCTCTTGTCTCCAGCTGGGCCACTTATAATCAGCTCTGCTCTAGGGCTTGGACTTTGGGCTGAGAAATTCCCCATAGAGGCTGCCAGGGGAGAGCTCTGATGGATTACATCTACAGAGGAGGTCTGAAGGCGTTTCACTCTTTCAAACTGCCCTGAAAACAGCATCTCTGATGTGCTGTTCCAGGAATGAATCACTGTTTCTGAGAGCAGAACTCAGAGCTGTCTGAAGGGTTTGCATTATATTGCAAGAGCTGTTGGAGAGGATGTCATGAATGAGAGAAAATAAAATAACAGTGCCTGGTGTTCTCTTTCCCCTAAAGCTCAGGGACAGCTTTCCCCCACTGTAACTAGATTTGCTTTAAAGCTTGAAGTGTTCACTACTCTAATGCTGTGTTGTTTGATCATTCACAGGGCACAGCACAAACCAGGTGAGGCATGGGAGTCAAGGTAAAGCCAACATCAGCAGTGAGATCCAGGTCTGACTTCTCCACTCCTGGAGGAGGCTGGAAAACAAATCTGCGGAGCAAGCCCGAAAAGAAGAGGAACAGCTCCATTCTGGCCAGTCCTTCACCAAGGCAAGCCCTTCGCCCTGAAAACAGCCAGGGGAGAAGTTAATGGTCAGCACAGTAACTGTTAGTGTTGATGTCTGAGACCTTCTAAACAGGAGGTACAGTCTGGAGGAGCAGGCTGCTGAGGTAGGAGATTTTCCCTCCCTTCTCTCTGTGTATTCGAGTGCTACTGATTTGGTCTCAAACTACACAGAAGTCTGTAAATGTATGAAATTGTTCAGTGACTGTGAGTAAATCCATGTCTCCCATCTCTCCCTAAGAAGAGGTGGTTACCTACAGCAATGGTGGATAGGAGAAATGACCAGAAGTCCTTTACCCTCTGTTCTGTGTCCTTGGCTTTCATACTTTCCTGAAACCAGGGGGAACTGCCATTAGCCTTGCACCCACACCCCTCTTACCTATGGAGAATGGAATAAATGCTTCTCTCCTAATGAAGTTCCCATTGGCATCAAGGAAATGGGAAGGGTTGAACTGATCTGGGGTTTTCCAGTGTAACTCATCATTCAGAGCAGAGGTCAGCAGTGGAATAATCTCAGTACCCTGAAAGGGATCAAAGAAACTCATGGAACAGGAGATCACTCCCTTACATGAGCCAGGCTGTGTTCTTTTTCCTAATGTGAAGAGGCAAATAAGACATGACAGATAGAACTGGGGAATGTTTCTCTGCCCCATCGTGGCTCTGTCTGTTTTCAGTAACTGCTGTTTTATTTTTTGGACCACAAAACATTCCTTTCTTACAGAGTCAGATCTTCCAACAAAGGTGCTGGGGTAGAGGTCCCACATTTGACATAAAAGATTCAAACTAGTGTGATTTAATTAAATCTCTGGTTAATCATGATTCAAACAACTGTACCAGACCACAATCCATTGTATGTTTATAGTAATTATCCTGGATCTAAGACAAAGGGTCACAGCACATATTAAACCATGCATCACCATGTCTTTAGTTATTTATGTGTTTCTTCATCTGCTGTAAAGAAAGCTGTGAGTAATCTGTGCAGCCCAAGCTGCCAGCCTCAGAGCTCACCTTAGGAATCACGTAGCCTCGGAAATTCACATTTCTGGGAGTCGATCTGGATACGCCCATGGGGACAATATTGGCAAACCTTTGTATTTCGTGTATTACTGCTTCTGTGTAAGGCATTTTTTTCCTGTCCTCCAACTTAGGCAGCTCTCCTGGTTCAATGACATGGTTCATTTCTTCCTGAATCTTTCCTTGGAGGGAGGAAAGGATTAAGAAGCTGATAACAATCTCATCTTGCAACTGAAATGGCTACCAGTTTGGCAGAGATGAGGAAAAGGGAAAGCTGTAAATATCTGGGAAGGGCAGAAGTCAGGGCATGGTGGGGTTCCTTCAGGTTTGTTGTTGAGCTAAGGCAGCTTGAATGGAGTCACTACAGTCCATCTCATGCCTGACTTTCACTACACACCTTTGTTACCCCATAACCTCCAACAGAAACCAGATCAGAATCAGCTCCTGAGGGGACCTTTAGTGACGTAAGCCCATTGCCTGCAGGTGAATTACCAGGAGGGAGCTTTACTGTGTCTGTAGGCTGCTCCTCAGCCTCTCCCACTTGGCTGGGCTGGTTTATTGCAATCCAGCTGAATAAAATTCCTTTGTAAAGTCAACGCTTGCTATCTCAGAGCACTGAGAATAATTACTCTAGGCAACGGTGAATGAGTTCCACTCCCTTCCACAACCAAAGCCTTAAGCATGCAACAATAAATTGCACAAGAGATGTGTCCTCCTTACTCTGAATTTCTGGGTATTTCATCATCAGCAGCAGCCCCCAGCGCACAGTTGTGGATGTGGTCTCAGTCCCAGCAGCAAAGAGGTCCAGGGTTGAAAACATCAGGTTTCCATTGCTGAATGCAGTGTGTGGTTTCTTTGACTCCTTCAAAACATGGGGATAATACAGCAAATAATACCCATATGTGACTGTGTTGCCACCATTTTTTATCTGCATTTTAGCCTTCTGTGACTTTATATGTGCTGGAAAACTGAATATTTAGTCTTTTAGCATTAGGGCCTATGCTGTGTGGAATTTTTCTGGCCCCAAGCATATGTGTAACCCCCAAGTCTAAATATTAGAAAAAATTCCAATGAATTGGAATTTATTTCCTGAAACACAGTTCATCACAGGACCATTCTTGCAGGAAGGTTTGGGATGATCTCCTCCTTATCAGATCCTTATGTGTGTTGAGTGGGAATTTATTTCCCCATCGTGGGATATCTCAATAACTAAATCCCTTTAACCAGCAGTTCCAGTGGGGCCATGAGTGAATCCAGCACAGCTCAGTGTGTGATATATTCTTTGATATATTCTGCTCACTGCACTTCTTCTGTTTCCACTCACAGCCAGTCCCTGACAGATGGCCAGTCCTAAGGGCTAGCTAAGTCACAGCTAAGGGAAGGGAACAGAAAGGCACTCAGCTTTAAAGGCACTCAGCTTTAAAGGGACTCAGCTTTAAAGCACCTGGTTTTGCTTCACCAGAAAGGCATCGACAAAGCCTGTTAAGTCATTTTCATTAAGCTCCTCTTTGTGTTCCTGGAAGAGCTTCTGGAGGAAAGCATTCAATTCAAGGATATTTTGTAGCACAGTCTTGGAAGCTCCAGACAGAAATCCAAGGGATGGGTAGAAGTTATATAACTGCAAGACAAGTTTTACTGTTAATTGGCATTTTTGAACAAATACTGGTGTCTCAAACCACACTGCTGGTCTCTTGTCCTATGCCCTGATATTTGAGGCTGTAATTCCCCCCTTCTACAGTCCAAGGAGCTCTGGATTTCTGCAGAAATGGAATGTTCCTTCTGTAATTCAAGGAGGTAGGTTTGGTATTGTGCTTCTGCTCTTCAAAGAGGGTAAAGTTGTTCCTTTTGTGAAGAGTTTGGATTTTTTTATTTTTACTAATAAGTTTGACAAAGTGGAGGAGCCTGGGAATCTGTGCATTGCAGATACAGAACCACAGATGTGTTCTGTACAGGCTGACTGGCTGATAATGTTCTTTTTCTCAAGAAGAAATATGTGGGAGGCCAGAAGAACAAATGCTGAAACTGGATATTCCCCAAAACCCATAAAATTTTGCTCTTACCTGCACCATAGGGGAGCCCAACAGCTTAGTATTTTGATTTATCAGCTTCAGCAAAGTTAGAAATACTGGATCATCATATTCAAACCTCTCTCCAAACAATATAGAGCAGATGACATTGGATACAGCATTGTTGAGTATCATTTTTGTATCAAATGGTTTCCCTGTATTTCAAGCAATGAAAACAAATGACAAAATGACTATGCTCGTTTCAGTCTGGTTTCCTATGGAAATGTAGTCCTGAGCTCCCAAAGAAAATTCATTCCCCACCCAGAATTCATAGCAGGGAATTTTGTTTCAGTGTTTTAAGGCCTTGGTTCAATAACCTAATGCACTTTATGCTGAACTTTAACCACGAGATACCATTTGCTCAGAGTTAAACTTTCATTAATCTTTATTGTTCTGCTAGACCTGTTCTCTGTCTCTGGATGAAAGACTTGACACTCACCATGATAGGATTCAAAATATTTGATAAGGGAATTTACTTCCTCCAGGATTCGGACCTCAAGGGTTCTCTTTCCCATTCCAAAGTCTCTCAGTGTGGACAAGGTAAATCTTCTCATAGTTTTCCACATCTCTCCATGGCTGAATGCTATGCCTAAAATAAAGGTGTAACATCCTTATGGCACCTGTGGTTCATAAATTTTCTTACACACTGGTGCCTCCTAAGATCACAGGAAGTGATCTGTAAGAGGACAGTACTCTCTGCTGTGAGGATGGAATGAACAAAGACAAAACTTATCCAAGCAAAAGGTCAGTTACCATTTCCTTGTGTCATTTTTCTAAATATGGGTATTTCTGCCCTCTCTCCAAACTCTTCAGCATGATTTAATAGGGCATCCTTGATGGTTTCATATCCAGCCAGTACCACGACCTTCCTGGGTCCAAAATGCACCGTGAAGACGCTGCCATAGATCTTGGAGAGCTGTCAAGGTGAATAAATATGTTCATTCAAAGCCAGATCTGGACTCAAACATTACTACTGGCCACTCTAGGTGGTTTCTAGACCAAAAGGAGCCTCCCAGCCCTGCTGATGTCTCCAGGTGCTGCTGTAATTCAAGCAGTGAGCAGCAGCTATCGATTGCCAGCATCTCTGCTTGCACCCTGTTTGCACAACAAGGTGTCTGCTATCACTGCTCCTATCAGGGGAGTCAACAAAGTGCCACTGCATTCCTGTGGTGTTCTGCAGTAGCAGGCCAGCAATACCACCTTGGGAGGCTGGCTAGAGAATGCTGCTGCAGGCAGGCCTGTTTGTTGTAGTGCTGGTGACCTGAGGCAAGCAGGCATGCACACACCTTTGAGGCTGAAGCCACAAACACTGCAAAAACAAGGCCAGACAATAACTCTTTCTTCCAGGACAGCACTTGTCTCTAATTATGGCAAGGTGGGTAGTGTTGCAGTCATTCTGGAATTATTTGCTGGCCACCAGAAACTTGAATCCCACTAGGAAGCATATTCTGGTAGATAATGTCACAGGAGTGGTAGGCATTTATAGCAAATTAAAAATGAATCATCTGTTAACCTGAAAGGTGGCTTTGACAAGCTAATCATTCACTTGGTATTTTAGGCTTCATTTGAACACACTACAAGCCATCCCCTCCAAATGTCTTGTTTCTGATGTGCCTGGCTTACCATTTTCTATGCATTAGATAGATTCCACAAATTGAATTTCAGATTAGAAGCAGCTCCTGTTATTACACCAGACAAATTGAATTTGTTTTCATCAAGCAGTGGTTAGACAGCTTGGGAGATAACATTAGCACTGGTTCTTCCATCCCTGGCAGCTCACAGAGCATGTGGCAGAGCCAGGGGCAGGGAATCACAGCTGCCTCTGAGCCTTCCTTTGGCCATCTCCTTGCATTAGTGCTTCTTGGCAGCCCCTCTGGTTTTACTCAGCAGCACAAGTATTGGATGTGGCAGGCCTGAAAGCCCAAATAAAGCTTCTTGGTAGATTATGGGAAATTAGTCTGGTCCTGTCACGTGACGTTTGTATCATAAAATCCCCCAGTACTGCCAAAAATAGTTCATAAATAGTTTCATACTGACATCCTCAAACATACCCAGGAGCTCAGAACCAGAAGCCCATCAGAACTGATCTCTACACAACCCTCTGGCCCATAAATCAGGGCAGATGAGCACTGTGTGCCTGCTGTAGGAATTCTGTGCTTTGGCAACACAGGGTGCCCTTCCTTCCACAGCTAACAGGAGGATTGCAGTGTCTGCACTGCCCTCCCACTGCACAGGCTCAAGGGGCTGAAGGAGTTCTCTGGGGACCAGCTTCCCCCCATCATAGTGTCCAGTAAGCAGCACACACACAGGGCATGAAACAGGTCCCTCACAGCACCTCAACTGTCTCTACAGCAACCAGATAAAATCTGAATTCCCACTGAATTGTCCCCAGGTCCCTGTGGGAACACAGCAGACACTTTCTGAAACAAACATTGCCCCTGGCTTTTTAATATTTAAGTGGGTTTTTTTTTCTCTCTCTCTCTCTTTTAGAAATATAAGTATCCATGGAGCTGTGTAAGAAAAAGCAATTTGATTAGCTAGACATATAAAATCCATGCATCAAGTGCTCAACCATCCTGGGCAGTGTGTGCGTGGGGAGGGCTGGGGAGGCAGAGTTCTGCTGTGCATTGCAGAGATGTAATTAATTTTGGAATAAAAGTTTGTCCCTCTGCTGTGGGGATGATGCCTTTTCTTGCTCCATCCCTTCCATCCACCTGTCCTTCCTAGAGGTCTGGTGGCAGTGAGACATCTCTTGATGGCAGCAGCCTGGCCCAACTCAAGTCTTTTACCTGCAGCCTTTGAAGGGCTCAAAACACCAACAATTTGGAGTAGGTTGTGAAGGGTGGGAGGTCTACACTTGAGTGTGTATAAAGAAAGGAGTGTATGGTTTATATTCATATATATAAATACAAGAGTTTTTGTGTGTGTGTGTGTGTGTGCACCTCTGAAGGTGAAGTTGTTCTGCCTGTGTGCCACATATCTCATTGCTGTCCTCCACACAAAGCAAACACAACCACATCTCTTTCCCCAGCTGCATTTCTCATTGCAGGAATTGCACATTTGGCCCCTGCCTGCTCGCTCAGTCCCTACCTCTGTCAGCGACTGGAACGGCTTTTTCAGGTCCACCACGTTCAGGTTCCCAATCAGAGGAAGAGGTCGTGGCCCAGGGGGCAAATTGCAAACTGATTTCTTGGAGCTGGAGAGAAAGTAAAAGAGAGCAAAGAGCCCTGCTGCCAAACAGAGCAGCGAGCTGGAGCCCAGGTACAGCAGGAGGCTCTGCACAGCCATGTCCAAAGGCAGCTGAGGGTATGAGCACCTTGGGGTCCCTTTATAGCCCTTCTGTCATTGCCTGAACACACCTTCTGGGGAAGTGGCTTTACACAGAGAAAAGGGCTCTGCAGACTTGTTTACATCCACTCAGACCAGATGTACTCCATTTTCCTGCCAATGAAACACCCTCTTTTATTCTGAACCATGGATTATCATAATCCAGAGCTCTTATTTCACCTACAACACTGGGACAAGGTGTTTGTTTTCCAGTGAATATCTGTGTTATGGGCATGTGGTTCTCTATGTGATTTCAGGGTCAGAACTCAAGGACAGGAGCCATGCTGGATGCTGTCACTGTGCCAGGTCACAGGACTCAGCTGGAGCCCTGGTGATGCAATGGAGGAAGCAGGGCACAGGAGGGAAAGCCCACAACAATGCACAGCCCAGGGTGTACCTGGCAAGCAAGCCCTTGGGGAGGACAGGACTGACCATGGAGAAGCTGGAATGGTGGGATGAAGATGGGCTAATTCAGGATTGCTGACAGGAGCAGATCTATTTACAGGTGACAGCTCTGATTCTTTTTGCTTTCCTGCCACCCCACTAAAATCACCTCCTCGAGCAAATCAGTGGTTTTTATTACTAGCATTGTTACTGTCTTTGTCCCAAGAATCCCCTACCAGCAATCCCAAAATGTCAGTCACTATTTGGCAGTTTAGTGCCCAGAGAATTGTGTGCCTGGATGGCCAAGCCTGCCTCAGCAACTGGTGATGACTCCCTCTGTTTATGAACAGCTGCATGCCATCCTCTGGGAGAAACTGTCCCCTGCAGGCAATCCTGCCTAGATTGGGAAAGAGATCCTGAATCCTGTTAACCTGGGAGGAGCCAGGATCAGGCTGCAGCTGGCCAGGCAGAGGATGGAGGTGCCAGGCAGGAGGAGCACATGGCAACTGTTCTGGCCCTGCAGGTACTGAGTCATGTCCCAAGCCCAAGCAAGAGCCCACGTGCCCAGGTGACAGCTCCAAGAGCCACCCCCACCCTCTGCATCCTTGGGGGGTGACAACAAAGCAGAAGTGACCAAGAACAGGAAGCCACTTGTAGAAATGGTGGCTCTGGGGGAAGGGGCTGATTTGATGCTCTATCCCATATTCTCCAGTGGGGATATTTTACTCCCCACTTGCAGATTCTGGCAGATTACTGGGCTGTGCTGCTGTTCAACCCTTTAGAAATCTTTAGTTTAATAATTCTGTTGCTAGAATTCTCCAAGGCTCCCAGGTACAGGCTACACTGATGGGAAAATGATGATTATTTATTAATAATAATAATAAAAGTACATTAGCCAAAGGCAAGGGGAATCAATAAACTCTAACTAGATTGACATGAAAAAGCTGCCTGGAGATCAGCCTGCTCTCCAAGGCTTGTTACCAGGAGAGGAGTTTTTCACAAGATGGAACTCCCCTGTGCAGAAGAGGACCAGGCAGAGTGGGCAAAGACAGGAGGGCACTGGATGGTCACATCCATCTCAGGATTTGCTGCACAGCTGAGAGGTCTTGGCCTGCACCCCCCTCTCCCAGACATTTCCAAGTATATCCTGTTCTGCCAGATTCTTCTCTGAGCAAATGGTGTGACTACTGGGACTCCTGAGACTTTATAATATGCAGTAAGAGGGAAGGAAAAAAGCCCTGCATGGGGCCAGTTGGGTACCAAAGGAGGAAATCTGTTGCTGTTTACATAGAGCTCTGTTGGAGCAGAGCTGACTGCTGCCAGAGCAAGAAAAATCACCTTCCCTAAGACTTCAGTCTGTGGGGACAGTATAGGGTGAGACCCTTCCTCAAGCAGTGAGCCCATGGACTTGCAGCCTGCTGGATTGAAGCCCTGTGAGAAAGGAGGGAGGAGCTCTCCAGAGGGAGGGAATCTTTGTATTTTAGAATAGACCCAATGTGATGCCCTCAGCCCCACTCCTTCCTCACACCCCTCAGCTTCCAGGGTGCAATCCTGAACACAGCCTGCAGCCACAGGCTTGCAGGTGAGGATCCCACACAGCACTGGGGGAAAACGTTCCTCCCAGCTCACATCTTTGTCTTTCTAGCAGCCCAAGGCAGAACCACCTTCAGGTGAGCAGAGTTTGTGGGCACAGCTCAGGGCACTCATCAGTTCCTCCTGGACAATGAGCCTGCACTTAAACACCACAGGAACCCTGTGTGCTCATCTGGAGAAGGTCACATCACCTCCTCATGGCACACAGGTGAACAGAGCTACAGTAACTGTAGGATAATGCAGGGAAAGGATTGTTATAAGGCCATAATTCAATCAATGACTGCTGATAACATCATAAACCAGCAGAGTGAGCACCAAGTGCCTGTGTGCCTTGCAAGGCTCTGCCACTGCTTTACAGCCCCCAGAGATGCCTATCAGCCCATGCATTGTTATCAGGGACATTTAAAGCCTGAGCACACCCTATTAAACATTAACATTTTTAAAGACCCAGATGTGTTAAAACTCAGGCTGCTCCTCACTAATGGATTTTGCTTGCCTTGACAAATGCCAGTGCAAAAAGAAATCAAAAGCTTTCCGACTCTGACCTCTTTCAATTTTTCATCACTATTGCATTGTTTTACTGGATTACACCCACCTCTTCCCACCCTGCAAATCTGTGTTTCTACAGGATCACTACAGGGTAGTGATCAGTACCTCAGCTGTTCACTTTGCTCATTTTTATACAAATGATTCCTTAATTTCTTTTCCTTCATCTGTCAAATCAGTGTGGGCTGCAAATCTACTCTGTGAAGAAAGACTCTGAAAAAATATTTTTTAAAATCTTTATTTCATGGCAATTTTTTTTTAAAAAGAGATTCCTGGGTTGATTTTTTTTCCATGTTCTGAGTTGAAAGATTATATGTGATGAGTCTGGTCATTAGGATAAGGAAAAAAAAAAAATCTGTTCATGAGATTAGTGCATTGTCCCTGTGCAGAGCCTAAGGTGAGAGTATTTCCCATTTTATTTTATATACTAACATTTATTTATTTAAATACTAACATTTTCCAAATGTTAAGTATTTACCATTCTTGGGAACTTGGTTGCTTTTAAAAGCCTCCTTCTTGGACTGAATATATGCCATTCCTTCATGAGTCTCACCCAGTGAGAAAACACATGGGAAATCCTTGGCTTTGGTGCTGGTAATGTACTTTTTAATATGCATATCTACAAAAATATTTGCAGTAAAATCCCTTGTAACTGTAGCTAGAACCATGATCTTCCAGATCTACATTTACCCCAAGTCAAGGCAGCCTGACCTGGGAGGTGAGTATTGAGTAGGTTGGGTTATGAAGAGATGATTTTCAAAATACAGCTGATAAATCAAATGCCTCAACACAGCTCCAAGGATTTTTTGTTCTGGGTCTCTGGCTTCTGTCTCTCTCAACAACATATTGCAGAAATTGTGTTAATCCAAGAGAAATTTGAGGCATATCATGAAGGGTGATTAGCTGATATCTACAGAAGGAGGGTCCCACATCTTCCTTTTGGGCTCCTCTCTTGGTGCAGGTGGAGATGTGGATTTAGATGGACCAGAATTGCAATGAGCAAGGTTTGTTTCACCTCTCAGTGCAGCGTTGCTATTTCTACAACATTCTTCTCTAAACTGATGAGGCTTTGGCTCAGTAATAACAGAAAATGAGCTATCACTCTGTACATCTATATGGAGCACATAACATATTAAGGCCCTGACCTTATTGGCATGAAACTACGATTTCCCTGTAAGTGCAAAACAATAATATTTCATTAATCATCTGCAACAGAAATCCCCATTCCCCAGACTATTCTGGCAATATTCTGCATTTTTGCTTGTCTAGGAACCTGAATTGAAAGGGAGAAAAATGGTTTACAACAGCCTGTGGCAGTGATGGAGCAAGAGCCTTATGTAAGAGCTGGCGGCGTGCTCGGCTCGCGGAGGTGAGGCAGCAATGAGTGATCCTGGAAGGATGTTTCTCTGAGGTGTGTTCTCTCCTGGCCTGGGAACAGCAATCTCAAGGGCACAAATTCCAGCATCTGAATGTGCTTGGTCTTGTTCAGCTCATTAATTTCCTACAGCTATCCCAAGTCAAGCTATGAAATCCCCTAGTGCTTTACTCCGAGCCTTTCATGGCTTGTCAATAAATTATTTTCCAATTAAGTACCTGATAATTTGAGTCTGCAGGCTCTTAGAGGAGGCAGCGTGGTGAGAGAGAAAAAATAATGGAAGTCATGGACGTTTCCCTGCCTGTAAAATGAATAAAGGTTCTTCTCTGAAGTGTTACTCAATTTGGTGCTTCCAAAAAGTAATGGTGAGTGTGTAATAACTCCTTCTGAGGAGATGTTTGTTCAGCTGATGGATAAACACCACTTGTGGAGTGAGTTTTCAGCACTACCTGACAACACTGGAAAAGAACAGTTTTAATTGTTACTTCAGTCCATAATTAATGATGAAAGGTCTGATTCAAGCAAAGGATTTTTATTTCTTTTTTAGTCTATCAAGCTGTGTAACTTGAAAAGGGAAGAGCCAAGATCTTTCCTAGTTTGGGAAATCTTCTAATTCAAGGATTTTAATTTTTGGCAAGGGCTTAGGACTCCATGCTAAAGATACTGTGAAACACCACGAATTATCTAATCTCTCTTGTACAATGAGCACCCTTTTGCTGAAGCAGCTATTTCAGATTTCCCTGATGCAGTCAAAGTCTCTTGCTCCTTTGAAAGATAATATGTGAAAAGCATTTAATTCTCTTTGTTGTGGCACTGCTCTTTGTGGCTCTGTTTTTGTTTAGTCCTTTTGGAACTGGTTGGTTTAATCCACAAATGAGGTTTTTTCCTTCACAATGATTATCTAATGGGGGTTTTATTTGATCTCCTTGGGAAAAATTTATCCTAAGTTGCTGAAGCACATGTATTAGATTGTATGAGAACCTGTACCTTTAAAGGAAATTCTAGAAGGTACGACTGGCATTTGCAATAAAAACATTAAGTAATCATAACCAAACACCTGCTA